GTACATAAGTTTTTTCTTTAGCACATACTGTGTTTATGACAGTGTATGAAAGGAAAGACATTGTTAATATTTTAATTAGTTTTCTTTTCTGCTCAGACTTTTATAGCCAAAGGTGGATCACAAAAATAAATAAATTAAATTAAATTCATTTAAAAACATTAGGGATGCGCAATGTAATTGGAACGTTCCTGAATGATGATTAGATTCACTGTTTTGGATTGCCGCATGGGGGGCGGCCTGCCCCCCTTGAAGGTCAAGTTAATTTTATTTAATTATATTTTCTCTATAGCGCCAGATCACAACATAAGTAATTTAAAGTTACCTTTCCAATAGAACAGGTCTATACCTTGTTCTTTTATTAAACAAACTAAATAGCCTTATGTTATTTATCTTATTTACACGACGGCATGACGTATAGGTCTCTACGTTATGGTCGTGCTCTCTGTATCACGCACAGCGGAGTTCTGCCCCCACGCGCACACACACTCACACACACACACACACATGCGCGCACACACAAGTGAGCACACTCCCACTATTATTTGTAAATATTAAGCAGCAAAACGACTATTTAAATATGAATTCTTCGTGTCTCTGTTAATGAATGGCGCAGACATGCGGTTTTGTTTACCACTTGTTCTGAAGCGCGCGTGATGCTTGCCGTGATTTTAGCGTCTGCCGTCTCACTAATGAGGACATAAATATATGAACAACATCTCCAGAACTTCTCTGAGAGTCACTTCATGAGCATTTGACCGTTTCATTTGAGTAAAACTATCCTCATATATACACACAGAAACGTAAATTTGTATTCACGGCAACCCGTAAAAATAAAAGTTTGGTTTAACTTGAAGGCATTGCGGCAGAAATATATTACTATTGTTCAGTAGAATGTACGTAATAGGCTGCTACTACTACTACTACTAAAATTATTAAAACCATATGTTTAAGGAATAATCATACAATATTTCTTCAATGTTTTAATTGTAATATTAAATGGAGTCACTTCATGAGCATTTGACCGTTTCATTTGAGTAAAACTATCCTCATATATACACACAGAAACGTAAATTTGTATTCACGGCAACCCGTAAAAATAAAAGTTTGGTTTAACTTGAAGGCATTGCGGCAGAAATATATTACTATTGTTCAGTAGAATGTACGTAATAGGCTGCTACTACTACTACTACTAAAATTATTAAAACCATATGTTTAAGGAATAATCATACAATATTTCTTCAATGTTTTAATTGTAATATTAAATGGCCTTTATTTTCCAAAAAATAAAATTTGTTTAATTTTCATTACTTTAAAGATAGAGTAAATGAATATGTTATGCCTTAAAAATGTAAATACACAACACAGAATTTCCGAGCAAAAAATCATAAGGCTATTGTAAGAATAAATTAAACTTGTGTTTATGCTTTCAAATAATTAGACATGCTAAATCAAAATTTGGTAACAATAAAACATAAGGTTGGAAAAAATAAATCATTTCATAGGGCCCTAAACATGTAATTAAAAAAAAAAACTTTTAATAAATTGATGTTAATTTGTTTAAGTTTCATGATTATAATTAATTAGACATGCTTTTAATTAATAAAATGTAATTTAACCATTAAAAAGGAGTCCAGAAAAAAAACGGACCCATAGAACTTTTATTAACAAAACGAATAAAAATACACCATACATGCCTAATAAAATAACAAATTACTTAGGCTAGTTTAAATAGGTATATAAAACTGAAAATCAGCAAACACTGTGGAACCAAATAAATAAGAAACATAGAACGTTTATTAGCAAAACGAATTAGAAAGCTTGGAGGCACAGCATAGGCTACACCTTGATGTAAAATAAAATTAATAAAATACACAAAGTTTAAATAAACTAATCAGCAAACACTGTGGAACCAAATAAATAAGAAACGAATGTTTAAAAAAACTTCCAGTCAATAGGCTTTTCAAAATCTAAAATATTGCAAAACGGGCGCCTTTGCATTTCCTTTCTAAACAATCTTCTGCCATCGTCTTGTCTTTCTCACCTCACTCTTGTCAGTCAGCTCGACTCACTCTCCTCACGTGATAAATAAAATCTGACTCCTGTTCCGTGGTGCACTGTCGTTTTCGCGCACAGTTCGGCACGCTGCATTGGGCGTTTAGTTTTTAAAAGTGTCTGTCCTCTAACTGAACTAGGCTAAATTATTTTTGTTCCTATAAAAAATCAAAATGACGGTGGGGGTGGTGCCGCGGTAGTCAAATGACGTAACTGGTGTTTTGGCTTAACACCGGTATAACCGAAAACACCGTCTATTGCAGCAAGCCTACACTGCATCTGTCTGTAAAAAAAAAACAAAAAAAAGGCACCGATTGATTTATAATTATTTTCAAAGCTTTCAATGTACTCTCATTGTAAAAGAACTTAATTGTTGTTTATTTAATTCTAACAAGTAAGTTTTTGTTGAAAACTAACCAAAACTAAAAATAATTTGTTTATAATCTCTGCACAGGAGGGACTTGGTGTTGTTTTCAAACAAAAGGAAATATATCGGCATCGGCCAAAATGAGTTAAAAATATCGGCATATCAGATAGCTAAAAAAATCCAATATTGTGTATCCATTAAAAAAAATTATAGTAAATATTCTTTGGTAGAATCATCCATATTTTTGTCCTCTTTGGAAGGTTTTTAGTTAAGGTCATTATAGATACACAGTAATAACAGGAATCTCAGAGCCACAGTCCCTGAGGCTGTGCTGATCTCAGGCTCAGCCTCTGTGTGTGTGAGGACACTATTTAAACACACCTCAGTAAATGGCACACTGCTCTTCTCATTCATAGCTGAGTGGAACAGGAGCCCATGGAAAAATTACCTTTCAGTTTATCCTTCCCTGTTACTGTTCAAACAGAACACAGTATGCAGAAAGCGTGGCTCTCCGTCCAGACAGTGGCTCTGCAGACAAGAACAGATGACGTCTAGAGTGCCATCTGTTGTGACGCAGCATGCATTTGTTCTGAATTGCATTAAATTTCCTGCAAGGATTGGTGGTTCAACACACAGGCTACGTCCACACGAAGCCAGAGCTTTCCCTATCCAATCTTTTTTTTTCCCACTTCTCAAGAAATATCTGCGTCCACACGAAACCACAAAACGATGTAGTATACATCCCAGACCAGTATGTGACGCTGTAATTCTGCCACAGAGATACACTAAAAACGGAGAAGAAGACTTGGACTATGCGCATAAACCTTGTGTGCGTTATACAAATGAACATTCAACCACTGTGTGCTCAGTTTTGCTGTGTGCTTTGTGTCATTGTCATGTTGGAAGGTAAACCTTCTTCCAAACTGCTCAAGTTCAGTTAAATTTGATGGTGACTGTTTGTGGACTGCAGTCTTCCAAGTCATTCCACAGACTTTCAATTGGATTTAAGTCTGGGCTCTGACTAGACCATGCAAACACATTCACCTTTTCCTCCTTCAACCACTGTGTGCTCAGTTTTGCTGTGTGCTTTGTGTCATTGTCATGTTGGAAGGTAAACCTTCTTCCAATTCTGGCAGAGGGCAGCAGATTTTCCTCAAGAATTTGACTGTATTTTGCCCCATCCATTTTTCCTTCTATCCTGACAAGTGCTCCAGTCCCTCCTGCAGAGAAACAGCATATCACCACCTCCATGCTTTACTGGAGGAATGTTGTTATTTGGATGGTGAGCTGTATTGGATTTCTGCCAGACATATGGTTTGATGTCGAGGCCAAATAATTCAATTTTAGTCTAATTTGCCTCAGAATGTTAAAGCGTGTGTTTTGGCAAAGCTCAGTCGTGAGGCTTTTTCTTGAGGAGTGGCTTTTTTCTTGCAACCCTCCCATACAAGCCACATTTGTGGAGAATTTGTGATATTGTTGTCACATGCACACAATGACCACTCTTTGTCATAAATTCATGCAGCTGCTTCAGAGTTGCTGTAGGCCTCTTGGTAGCCTCTCTGAGCAGTTTCCTCCTGGCTCTTTCATCCAGTTTGGAGTGACGTCCTGATCCAGGGAGGGTCTGTGTTGTACCAAATACCTTCCACTTCTTACTAATAGACTTCACTGTGCTTCTAGGCATTGAGAAAGCCTTTGAACATTGTTTTGTATTATCTCTTCTGACTTGTGCCTGTCCACAGCTTTATCCCGGAGATCTTTTGACAGTGCCTTGCCTCCCATAGATAACCGTTTGCTTCAGTTGCACTACCAAGGACTGAAATGCTCCAGGAAATCTCTTTTAATGTTGAGCTGATCAAAATGACCTCAGCTGATCACAGTTGGAAGTCAAACGGCTTTGTGTGCCATTGAGAAGGTGATTATGAGTTTACAAGTCATTTTTAGGAGGGGGCTGATCCTTTTTCCAACTCATGCTGCGCTAATCAAAATGAGCAGAGCTGATCACAGTTGAAAGTCAAATGGCTTTGTGTGCCTTTGAGAAGGTGATTAGCTACACCAGATTGAGTTTACAAGTCGTTTTAGGAGGGGGTGATCCTTTTTTAGTGATTCTGTTTTTTATTATATGTTTGTGTTATATCTTTCACTTGGATGTTATAAGTTGCACTGAGTAAATACAGCTGGATAAAACAAAAACTGTGTCCATCTTCATTTCAGGCTGCAAAGCAACAAAATGTGATTCTTTTAAAGGGGGGGGGGGGTGATTCTTTTCTATACCCACAGTATGTTATAATGCATAATTCATAGTTGTTTTGTGAAGACTATGATAGATTTGTGGAATTAGCAGTAGTGTACAGTAATACACCAATTTAACGTTTAATGTTAAAATAACGACATTTAATGTCTTCATCCATCTTCCTTATTGTAGGATGAAGTATATTTAAATAAAATAGATTTAAGAATTGTTCATCGATCAGTACCTTTTAATACTTAAATACTTTTAATACTCAAGTACTTTAATCAATATTTTTGTACCTTCCCTGAAGTAAAATTAAAAATGAGTACTTATGTTTAATATTTGATTAGGATGTCTGTACATTTACTCAAATGCTTGATTTGTGTACTTCATCCACCACTGGGAATTAGAGGTTATTTGGTTAATTAACATAATTAAGGAGTTGACCTTAAACCAGCCATCGTGCTTCCTTAACACGGATTAGACTTTCAGACAGCCATTAACTAGTGGATTTCACACATCCCTGGTACTAACGTTATATATATTTAATAAGTGATTTATATTCCTTCTATTGTTCAGAAATGAATAAAGGAGAATCAAGGAGGGAATCAAAGTAAAACTGTCCGTCTTTCTCTCCCTCAGTGTCTGAATTTAACGCAGCTTCTACACCAATACGGACTGAGCTCGGATTCTCTCATATCTCCAATGCAGTTCACCTATTTATGTCCTGCACTGCTCTACCAGATAGATAGACGCTTCTGCATCCTTCATTATCACCACGTTGAAACTGAAGTACAAGATGCAGCATCATCAGGTACAAGTGATCCTGTAGAATAATTCTGTTTGGACAAAGTATATTCACTACAATTCTCTCTACCTATGTAGTTTGCTACATTTTAATAACCAGTTGAGAATCGTTGTTAAACCATTTTGAAACAGTTCAATGTTGCTAGAGTTACCTTAGTTGAAACTCTTTTAAGTCCAGTGACAAGCGCAATTAAATAGGACCGCAGTAATTCTGACTAAAATATAAATTTCGCTGAAATATTTGTAGTTGGACAATAAATGTGACATGTAGAATTTTAAACCTACAAGTAAGACTATTTTATGATAGCACTGACAGTAAAGTGAATGTAATGGGGTAATCAAAATAGTCTAACAGTCTAACTCTGTGCTTTTGTTCTCATTTATTTTCATTTTTAGTTTAGTGAATTTAACTTCCACTTTAAAAGCCTTATTTTTGTTTTTAGATTGCAATGTTACAATGTTAGAATGAAATGTGATTTTAACCCTTTTTTGCACATAATATAAAGGCTTACATGGTTACATTCACTTTATTTGTTTTCATAGCCTTTAATATGTATTGTTTTGTTAGACAACATTGGGCGGTAAGTGAAATACGTATATATTAAATGCAGATTTTTTTTTAATCCAAAATACGGAGATATATACCGTATATCGCAAATCGGCCCAAAGATACCGTGATATGAATTTTTGCCCATATCACCCAGCCCTAGTGACAAGAGTCCCGGTCTAATCCACTACTGCTGATTGTGTTGCTGCAGTATGGGTCTGGATGTGGGGCTTTGTGTCGATCACCATCATCAGCCTGCTGTCTCTGCTGGGTGTTGTTCTGGTGCCCATCCTCAACCAGTCCTGCTTCAAGTTTCTCTTGACCTTCCTGGTGGCGCTGGCAGTGGGAACCCTCAGCGGGGATGCCTTACTGCATCTACTCCCTCATGTGAGTTCACTCTTTGGGGACAAACAAGATTTAACCATTGCAAAAGTCCAAACTACACAGCGCAAGAAATCAAACCTTTCTTATACCTTACAGTCTCAGAGTGGCCATGATCACAGCCATGGAGGACATGCAGAGGAAGAACCTGAAGAGGATTTTCTTACAAAGTTTGATGGAGTTTGGAAAGGACTGACTGCACTAGCAGGAATCTACCTCCTCTTCATCATTGAACATTGCATTGGCATGTTCAAACACTACAGCAACCAAAGGGTGAGAGGCACCACAATACCTTTATCACAGGAAAGATGTGCAAAAAATCGTGCAAAAGTGGCAAGTAAGCTGCTTTTCACTTCACACATGCTTGTTCAGGACTGACAGAGCTGAGAGCTATGGAAGACTAAAATATAATCCATAATTGCTGCAGATAGTGGGGATTTTAGTGCACAGTAAAACAACCTTGGATTTTATACTCAGAACCTAGTGCTTATTAACACTTGTCTGTTCATGCTTTCCACAGGGAAGCCTCTGCCAGAGGAAGAAGAAAGGAGAGCAAGCAAAGATTGGGAGGAAATTGTCAGACCACAAACTCAACAGGCGTTCAGATGCCGAGTGGCTCCATCTGAAGCCTCTAACAGAGGGTGGGTCTTCATTTCATCATAAAATCCCAGCACAGTTTATTTGGCTTTTAAAGGGGACATCGGATGCAAAATTAGTTTTTACATGGTGTTTGCATATAAATGTGTCTTAGCAGTGTGTGGACTCAACCACCCTACAATGATAAAAATCTATTCAAGCCATTTAGATTTTCTGAGCAGTATGATGTCATACTGCTCAGGCCCCACCCACGACTGCTGACAGACTGTCCCGTATTAGCATATTCCTGCCCTCAGTCAGTCGTATGCTGTCATCCATTGTCTCCAAGCTCGATCAGCTGTAGCGACAAGGTCTCCTATTTGTGATGATTTGTAGTTGGATGCAAAAGTAAACATAAGAGTCCTCATTTTCTCCCAACATCAGAGTCACTGAGGACGCAGTTTATTAGTTTTGTTTTTGATGGTAACGCACCACCAAATACTCAAAAAACGGAAGATAGGAGCGGGGTGAGCAGTAGCTCATTATCATTTCAAGAGACATGCACTGAAACGGGTCGCTGTGAACAGAGCTGATTTTGACAAGGTCAAAAGGGTGTTGTTTTACACAACCATTGAGGAATTTTAACCAAAGTATGTTGCAGACATTTCATGAAGACCCTAAAGATTCATACCAACTTGTGGGAAATGGGCATCCAATGTCCTCTTTAAGTAAAGTTGTGAGTGTTGATTTTGTGGAGATGCTTCAGAGTCTCTTCCAATATACTGAACCCTTGTAAGGATATTGTAAGAACAAACTCAAGCTGGTTGCAGTAATGTTTAGAAGTAACTTGCGTTGTAGTCAAAATCAGCTCATTTGAGTCCAAGTCCATGGTTAGGTTTAGTCAGTTAAGACAGAGACCAAAGGGGCTGAGTCAGAGTCTGAACAATTCAGACAGTGTACTACGACACTGATGTAACGCCTTCCCTTCTCCTTTTTCTTGCAGGAGAAGGTACAACGCGTGAAGCCGGACACAATGACACTCAGATGACAGAGTTGCAGCCTCTGGATTCACCCAGCAAGATGCCACTGGCCATATCTGATTCAGATCACCCCTTCAAGGATGCTGAAAAAACAGAGGACGACAGCGGGCCAAAGGCAAATTCAAAAAACCATGGACAAGATCATGGACACGGACACGGCCATGGTCACTCCCACCATGGACACTGTCACTCTGACCAGGAAATGAAAGATGCGGGGATCGCCAGTATAGCATGGATGGTCATCATGGGAGATGGCATGCATAACTTTAGTGATGGACTTGCTATAGGTCAGTTTGTGTACACTGAAACCATTAGCAGATTAGTTTGTCTTCGAAAGGGTTTCTGTATCTGAGGAACTGTGTTTGTCACCTACAGGTGCTGCGTTCAGTGCTAATATTACAGGTGGCATTAGTACTTCAGTTGCTGTGTTCTGTCAAAAACTGCCTCATGAACTAGGTAAGTTGCTTAACAAAGTTTGTCAAAAAAATGTTGGAATAGCAGATCCATTTTCTTACAGATGCTTGTGCAGTAAAAGTTAAAAACAGGGTTCCTACAAATGTTCTATTTAATAAATCCATACTTTTGCAGACTCAAATTTCCCGACTCCTATGTAGATTTTTCAGACTATTTTTCATAATGTAAAACAAAAAATAAAACATGATTAAAGGTTCAAATTCACTATTTGATGCTCTCACAATACTACAAATGTTGTCACAATACAAAATTTCAGTTGTCTGTACCAATACTAGTAAAATTTCACGGTTCTTGATATCATAGCAAAAACTAGAACCCTGCATTTCAGCCCAAGCCCGATAGGGGCCCAACTTATTTATGGCCCTAGGGCATCGGGCATCAGGCCTGTTTTAGACTTCTCCTTATTTTTATATTTTAGACTTTCATCAGTTAAGGCGATTGAAAAGATGTACTGCGCTGGTGTAAACAACACGATACCATGCTACCGTGACTGTCAAGATTGGATCAGCAGCGGGAAGAGTTATAGGAAAAAAGGAGGACTGGATTAAAACCAAAGATTTTTCTAGTCGACTAGTGGTAGTAATTACTAAACCATAATGTGCCTTTTTTTTTTTTATAATAATAATGTGCCTTTAATATTTATGCTAGCTATAGCCTATTCTGCGTTTTAGCACACGCAATAGGCTAAAGCTTCCCACAAAGCACTGGCAAAAGTAATTACCATGAATGTGTCGGGGGGGAAATAGCAAGTAGACCCGTGAGACCTTTGTTAATCTTCCGAAAACAAATTAAGATATTTTTGATGAAATCCGAGAGCTTTCTGACCCTGCATAGACAGCAACAGAACTACCACGTTCAAGGCCCAGAAAGGTAGTAAGGACATCGATAAAATATTCCATGTGGCATCACTGGTTCAACCGTAATTTTATGAAGCTATGAGAATACTTTTTGTGCGCAAAGAAAACAAAAATAATAACTTTATTCTGACGTATAACCCGGATCCGCTGTGCCTTGTTTTCAAGCAGAGGAATGCACACGCATGCATCGTGGTACTCTCGTGAACGCATGTCAAAGACTGACACGGAAGAGAAGAAATTGTTGTTTGTGTTTTCTTTGCGCACGAAAAGTATTCTCGTAGCTTCATAAAATAAAGGTTGAACCACTGATGTCACATGGAATATTTTAACGATTGACATCAACATCAAGGTGAAGAGTTTCAGCTGTTCTTCTGTGCTCTCCTTTTCTTGTTTGAATGAATGAAAAACAAACAGTGAACTAATACTACACAGCAGCACATACAGCTTTTAAAAGACCGCAAATCTTGTATGAAGTTTTGAGTTTGCTGTCTAGAGGGCCACTAGTTTTTAAATTCCCCTTTTTGTTTAAACAAAAAAACCAGACAATACAATATCAGAGAAGAAAGAACAAACAGAGTATGCCTTTGATATAACAACAGTATTTTGCATTTGATGTTGTTTACCGTTACTGTCTGCCATCCAGTGGAGGTGATGGGACTGGATTCCTCAGACACTAATAACGTTTGATGGAGCAGCTCTCTTTTTTTGTCTGATAATCTTTATGCACATGCTGTGGCTGGGGAAAGACGGCTACAATAAAGAGTTTTTACTACCCTGCAGTGCTGTTAATTGCCTTTAATGACATAATGATATAATTGGGTCAGGTGACACAGAGCAAAGGTCCAGAGTGCAGTTTAGAGAGGACCACTGGTCGTGAAGGCTCCTCACATATATATTCAGTAATTAGGAACAAAGGAGCAGCAGCATAGAATTGCTGAAACACAAGAAAAACCCACTTTTGATTTTTCGGACAGATTGAGAAGGACAACCCGATCTCACTGCAGTCAATATCAGGTTTTGCATGGCCAAAACTAACTCTACCCACTCTGCTGTATTGTTGTTTATTGTACATTAATAGTGCACATTTTTGTTTGCCTCTAGGTGACTTTGCTGTTTTATTGAAGGCTGGGATGTCAGTGAAGCAAGCCATTGTGTACAATGTCCTCTCTGCCTTGATGGCTTATGCTGGCATGGTGATTGGCACGGTTGTGGGACAGTACACGCACAACGTCACCAGCTGGATCTTTGCTGTTACTGCTGGCATGTTTCTCTATGTGGCATTAGTGGATATGGTAAGAGAACCGAAATGTGGATTTATTTGCTTACCAGTTGGGCTGCATGAATATGTTATAATTATTGATTACTTGAAATGAATCAAGGACCTTTCACACAGAACACGCTGTTGCATTCCACCGCGCTGCTTGTCCATTGTTTTTCTATGTTAACATGCTCTAGATGGATGTTTGAGCATTATGCTCACGTCTCATGTCTTTTGTTGTGTCTCATGCACAGTCACAGTGTTTAAATTAAAAGTATATGAACTTTTAAAAATGTCTCTAGACCTTGCTTTTTTCTATCTTTTATTATTGTACTGCCGCACATCTTGAGTTTTCCGGTGCAAAAATTTGAGTGAATGGCCTCTCACACATTCAAAATAAGGTGACTACTAGTTATAAAAGCACAACAACTGTTCTAATTTCAAATAAATTATACACAATATTATTGACAATATTAGAGTGCTCCCATTATAATCACCAAAGCTGTCTGCATATTCACTATGTCTGAACCCTGCAATTCAGCACAAGCTCACTGAGTTCTGCACTCCTGTGAACAATTAAATGATTACAATCAACAAAGCTGTCTACACTGCACAATCAATTTCTTATTTACACTTTTGTCGACATGCTGATTATTATAGGAGCATTTTATTTTTGTCCCACTCCCAACACTTGCATGCAGTGTGTATTGGGATGAGAACATTGCGAACAAGCTGTGCAATATCCAAATCCAGCATGATTCCAGAACAACCTATTTGAATATCTCACCTGCTGTGATATTCATAAGTTGTATATAGACATAAAAAAACAAAACTTTTTGAGTTTTTTTTCTCAAACTTTCTTCAAGTGCCCCCAGGACTTGGTTGGAGTACATGGTGATGAAAAGAGCCGTCTTCAAGGAAATCTGAAAAATGGAGTGTCAGCACAGACCCCCGAAGTTCAGATCTCCCTTAAATTGTATTATGCATGTATTATTATTTGGTACTGAAGAGAGAATAAAACACTTCTCTAGCTGTGTTGTGGTTTAATACATGATCATTACCAAAGGTTTTTTTTTGTTTTTTTTTGGACATCCGGTTTCACGCTGAAATGTTACATTATGAGTTGGAAATACTGTTCATGTTGACTTTAAATGCTTCCAGTTGATCCATCAGCATTTTGTTGTGAGATGTCATTTTTATACATGGCACCTGATGACAAACAACCATCTCATGCTTTAATATCTAGACTAATCTGAAGACTTAAGAGAGGAACTTGAAAGTTTGCACATTTGAATTAATACTTTTTTAATTAATTTTTTGCATTATCCCTTTTTGCATGTTGCTGTAAAATGAGAGAAAAAAAACCTTTCTCTCAAAATTGCTTCTTGTTTCCATAGTTCCTACAGGCAAATATTAATTCCAAAGGTTTTTTTTTTTTTTTTTTTTGGACATCCGGTTTCACGCTGAAATGTTACATTATGAGTTGGAAATACTGTTCATGTTGACTTTAAATGCTTCCAGTTGATCCATCAGCATTTTGTTGTGAGATGTCATTTTTATGCATGGCACCTGATGACAAACAACCATCTCATGCTTTAATATCTAGACTAATCTGAAGACTTAAGAGAGGAACTTGAAAGTTTGCACATTTGAATTAATACTTTTTTAATTTATTTTTTGCATTATCCCTTTTTGCATGTTGCTGTAAAATGAGAGAAAAAAAAACCTTTCTCTCAAAATTGCTTCTTGTTTCCATAGTTCCTACAGGCAAATTATTTTTTTATTGTGGGATTGAATGAGTGCACTCGATAGCGTCCACTAAGGTTTCGGACACCAATAAAAATATCTGTCCCCTCAAATAGTGCCTTATTTAAGGGTATAGGGGGCAATTTCGGACACAGGGCTGGATATTTTAGGCAATATAGAAACCCTGGCCAGGCTGTGTCCAGGAAAAAGTGGATGTATGGTCACCCTATAAAACCAGTTACCAGAAATATGCTACTTTAAATTCAACTGATTTTACATAGACTGATCATTGACCGTGTTCACACTTGAGTCACATTATCTTCAGCAATGGCTATAATTAAAACATACTTCTTTAGGTCAAACACTATGTTGTGGTGACTGATGTGATGTCTCTTCACAAGGACACAGGCTTAAATGCATGTCGCTAGTTAAAGTTTAGCTGGGAGTGCTTGACAGGCTTGTAAGCTCAAAGATTTAAGACATGATCATCTGCAAAAAAATTTACTTGAAGTATCAAGAAAATCCTCAAAAAAAATGCTTGAATAATGAAGTACCCTGCACACCAACACACTAAAGACTCTTCCCATTTTTTCACTGACTTCAACAGGCACTTTGTTGTCTACTTCATTTTTTTATTCAGTCAAAGACACACATAAACAGCCTCATGCAGTGTATGATGGCCTCAGAGAGATGGGTTTCCTCTGGAGAGATGCTCATGTACTGATGAAAGAGCAGCAGGGGTCTGATGTCAGAGTACTGTAATGTTGACTCTGATTGATGGCACTCAGCCGCGGCGAGGGGTTAATGAAACTGTGCGTCTATCTTCCCTTTTGTCACGTTACCCATTTCCCTCTCATATATTTTACATTTCATGCTTGTCAATACTCCCTCTTTGTCTTTCTCACCATCCTCTGGGGGGGTTTTGTATTCCTTGTCCTCCATGACTTCAAAGTCGAAGCTGAGCAGGTCAATGGGCATGGTGTATTTTCGGGCGTAATTCTGCTGGCTTCCAGTGAGAAAGGCCTGAGTGAAAAAGAAACCGGACATCCAGAACACTGCAGGCGTGCCATCCACGTACCAACCCTGTGTGGATGACACAGATGATACTGATTTTAAAGACCAAAATCAAGAAACATGGGGTCACAACTAACTCTAAAGGCATAACTTGAAGGCCAAAAAGAAGCTCAGTTTTTTTTTTCTTTTATTGAAAAGAACGGTATAGATGCAGTGTTGTAATCTTAGATCCCTCAATGAGACAGTAAGTGTGATTTTCCCGTGGCTCACAATGCACTCTAGAATGCTTTCTGCTTCAACTGCTTTATGTATGAATGTGCGTTTGAGTATCCCAACAACTCACTGGAAAACAATCGATTTGAAGTAAAAACTTTGAATTAATCACTATAAATTATTGATGTATTGTGCTTACATAATCATTACAGAACTGTGTTTGTGGAATCCAAATATGTATTTATATAGCATTTGCATTCATATAGCATTTATTTTAAATATATGTAAATCTTACGTACATCTAATGTAAACATTATGTAGATTTCCTCACTGTAGCTGTAATCAATTTAATGCATCCTTGTGCAATAAAAGTGTTAATTTATTTTTTAATAAATAAATATTATGGACCCCAAACTGTATATTAAATGACTGTAGCCTTTGAGATTCAAAGGACAAGTGATTACTGCAAACATGTGATTTCCATGTGACAAAGTGTGCAGGGCACAAATTATGGTGGAATGAAAAGTATACTACTATACATGCTTTATGACTATAGATTTTACCTGTGAAAACTTGAGTCTTTCAAGAAAGTCACTGATGTAGCTTTACAGCCTCTTCATCTACACGGCAGGGATGCGATCAAGTTCAGCAGACATAACCACCAGACCCTATCCCAAGACACACACATGCATTCATTGATTGCTTCTGTGTCCTTCTACCTGGGTTGTTGTCACATCTGTTCTTCTTTTTTATTTTTTTAGAAGTACAGTATCACTCAAAATCAACTTGGTTTAAATAATCTGGTCATGGCACTTGTGTACATTCCTCATATTTACAGTATATTGCCATTTTCTCTTCTATGGAAAAGCTATGTTGTCCTATTCTTTATGTCTTTCTAAGGGCTGGTTTCAAAGGTTTGTATTTGATATGGTATAGAGATGTATGATCATGAATGATAATGAAAGGGTAAAAGAGAGAGGTTCCTCAGAGTAGAAATCAAGCTGTAGTCAGAAAATATAAAGGGATTATTTTAGGGTTAGATTATAGGATAATGGTTCACAATGTGTAAATGAAAGCCAGGGTTGTGATCAGATCTATATGCATCCATCTCACCCTGCGGGGCGGTAATGCTAACTGGGATCAGAGCTGTCAATCAAACTAAAGGACAAGGATCCTCAGCTGGAGTGCACAGCATAAGGACATGCCCTGGGGCACAATGAATTCTCCTCGTATCTTTCAGCAGGGAGTGAATGTTCAAAAACTTGTTTTAGTTTGCATTTCTTCTACATAAAAGCTTGTGTGGAAATAGTAGCATATGGCCTTTTAGAATAACCATTTTAAAATGCTGCTTTCCAAAAGAAAAAAACAAATATATATGATAAAAATATATCATATATATTTTATAATACAATTTTTAAATTGTTAAAATTAGAAATACATACATATACGGATGTCTACATTTGGTCAAATCACTTGCTTTAAATCAAAATTCTGTTATCGTCCATCCTCCTTCAATTACCTTTTTTGAGTCATTTGTATTGTGAATAAATGTATTTAGACAATAATGAATACTCTGTGCATTAGCATGACATGAAATGCCACCATATACTGTACTCCTGAAAGCTAAATGAATGTGGCTAACCGAGCCATGCTAATGCAAATGTAAATGGAGAGGAAAAATCCCCCAACTAACAGCGGAGCAACAATGCTTCCAGTAGCCTGCAAATTCCCATTGGAGTTCAATTTGTGCTCAGACCAGAAAGAAAGAAGACATGACAACATGACCGATAGAAGTGCTGAACCTTCACAGTGGTTTTGCTAATGTTCTGACCTTGATGGCCTTCTGGGTGTTGACACGAATTCCGGATGGTCTGGAGGAGTTTGTTGAATCTCCTGCACCAGCACTGTGTTCATGCTTTGGTTGTAGCTGGTGGGGTACTTGCACATGGCAGCATCTGTATCGAAATCTTGAGGAAGTTTATTGAGAATATCTGCAGCCACCTCGTATACCATGTCGTCTGAGGATGTAGCACTGCCACCTAAACAACGGGACTGTGAGGGAGAAATTGAGCAAAAAAATGTACTCAAACAATTACAAACATCAAACAGGTCATTAGAGTACTTTATGAGCTGCTTTAAACTAGCTAGTTTGCATCAACAATCAAATGTGTTTCTGCACCTGAGTGAGAAGAATGCTGTCAAGCAGCAGCTGTGTTTTCACTTGGTCCTTAGTAATTTCAGCATTGGCATTCATGCCAAAGTCTTCAGGTGAGGGATTTAGAGGAAGTGTCTTGGTGTACTGAATGTAGCTGTAATACTGAAAAGGAAACAATCAGCGTCTTAATGCAACACTAAATTTCACGATGGCGATGCTAAATAATGGCATGCACTTACAACAGACTACCTTTGAGATTGCTGACATTTATAATAATGGCTACGCAAATGACATTCATGAATAAAAGATTTTGAGAGAAAATGCCAAAAACAATTGGATATAGATTATACATGTGCTCGCAAATAAATCAGAAATCACCACTGGCAGCAACCTGCTGTGTTCAGTTATTTATAACTTATAGCTCATAATTCCTTTTCAGAACTTTCATAAAGAGGCAAACCAATGCCTCTCCAAAAGATG